AACCATGGTCTTAGAATGGATTTTTGAGGCCTAGGGACGATTCTAAGCATAGCCTACGAAACTACCTGCGGATAAAAATCCGCAGGTAAATAACCAGGGATTTTGATGAAGAAGATGATGATGCGTCACTATGTGATTGGCTGGTTTCAAACAAACGCGCGTTTTTTTATTTTTTAAGCATATGTGTTGATTCACTAATATATTAACCATTGCTTATTATTATTTCAATTGAGACGTGTAGCTCAGATGGTCAAGGCGTGCAAGCATAATCCCTGGGACCTGGGTTCGAACCCCAGGTCCCCCCAAAATTATTATTTCTTGTTTTTCTTCACATAATTGTGTGCAGGGCTCAAAAGAAATTTCACCATACACCTCCAGTTCACAAAGCGCCATGTGGCCTCAAGTGTGGATCATGTGGCCAAAGATGATGACCACCATGCACCTTGGTCAAAACACACGCAGCCAATTGCAAAAAGTCAATAAGGCTTGAGATAATGGGCCTCACAAATCCAGAATTTACCCCCATTCTGGGCCCAGAACCCCCCTTTGGTTCATTTTTTTTTATTTCTTTTATTTTGTTTGTTTATTAATTATTTTTCTAGTTATTATTTATTATCACTAAAACTAATTAATTAACATTTTCATAATAAATTTATAAAAACTAAAAAATGTAAATATTTTATTTTTATTAATTTCACTTAGGTTTAATTATTTTGTAAATAAATACTAACTTAAATTAATTTAGTTTAATTAGGTTTAAATTTTAATTTTCTTTTTACAATAAATAAAATTATTTAGACTTAGGTTTTTCTTTTGACACTTTTAATTTCCTTTTTTTATCTTATTTCATTAAAAACATAAAAACACAAAAACATTTTTTCTTTTAATAAATTAATTAATTAGTAATTAGTTTTAATTTTGATTAATTGCAAAAAGGACAAATCTCATTCTTTCTCAAAAAAGGGTCAAAACCCTAGGACGTTCCCGATTCAATCTTTCGCGCGTATTTATTTTTTAATTCATTATTTTGTATCTGCTCAGGAAATGTAATAATTAGTTAGAACTTTACCGCTTTATTTACTTTTCTCGCACTTTATTTCCAAACGGGTTTTTGTTTTTGGCGATGTATAGACCCGCGCCTTGTAATAGTTAGATTTACCTTTTCCGCACTCTTAACTGTTAAAAAATGCATGAAAGACTTGTATGGCAAATAAAACCAATCCGTAGCTCACAAATAACATGTACAAGATAAACATTAACTGAATTCAACACACATGCACATGCCACTCTTAGGGTACGCCTCACTGGTTGCCTCGACGTGGTCGTCAAGTATAGGGTGTCTTAGAGGTCGCCCTCCTGTCTAAGATCCAGTTGCCTCGAAACGGTTGTCTCGGATAAAAAAGGATCTAGGACGTTAGGGTTACCACTAAGATGTCCTACCATTGCTTCGGTGACCACACATGTCCCTTATCATCGAATTGACCCGAATACCTCCAACGACGGTGCTACCTACTTCTCAATGGTGGGATAGCACTATCTAAAGGACTCTTACACAGCCTAATTCCTTAGAGTAGGTAGATTTCTCTCAAGTACTTGCTCTCTTCAAAACAAACAAAAATACTTTTTGTACCCACACTTTCAAAAAGTTTTCAAACAAATTTTTCATACACTCTTGAGGACAGACACAAGAGTTACTTAGAAATTTTTCAAACGAAACTTTTTTTCAAAACCCACACACACTTGAAAAGCAAACAAATTTTGAAAACATAAGAGCAAGTACCTAAGAGCCCGTGGATAACCACGGATAGAAATGGTGTTAACACCTTCCCTTTCTATAAATCTACCTCCCGAACCGAGAAACATTCTCAAAGAAGGAATTTTGCTGTGCTTTTGTCCTTTCCATGTTGGAGAACATAAAAGACGGTGGCGACTCTTGCTTACCGCGACATTTCGCGAACCAGCTTAAAAAACAGTCAGTTCTATTTCCACCGATCACAGTCTCCCTTTAGACTTTTTCTTTCCCCTTTTGCATTTGCATTAAAACAAAAACGTCTTTTCCTTGCAAACTTCAAGACACTTAAAGATAATTAATTAGAGTCATACCTTTGTCGAGTATGGGAAATGATAAGCGAGTTTCTTCTCGATCTTATTGTTCCTCCATTCTAAGCCTTGGTGTGGTACAAATCTCAAAGACTTACTTTATGAATAAGTAGAGAAATGGATAATACCTCTCTCTTGAGATTAACTAGTCGTTATCTGCAGCAAAAACACCAACCAACACGAACTCTTTTGCCCTTGGGCTTTTCTTTCAAAATTCTTTCTAAAAGGACATGTTAAGTCACATCTGTGTTGACGCGTAAGTCTCTAAAGGCCGAGTTACGACAAAAGGCGAGATTAATATTGTTCATTAAAAAATACAAACAAACAAAATATGTGAGCCGAACTACGGCGCTCTGATTCCTTAAAAGGGATACGTAGGCATCTGGTCACGGGGCTCAACCGAGCGAAAATTTGTAAATATTTCCTTCGTTTCTCTGTGTTTTCTTTGCATGCATTCCCTCTTAGTTTATAACTCTTAAGCATTAGATTGAACACACCCTTTGATTAGAATAACGAGAGTGGATCCCGTAGAGTACTATGGACGTGTGGGGTGCTAATACCTTCCCCTCGCGTAATCGACTCGCTTACCCAATCTCTCGGTCGTAAGACTTTGATTTTCCCTTTAGGTTTTTCTTCGATGATTTTCCTTTCCCTTTTATGGAATAAATAAATACTCGGTGGCGACTTTATTGATTTTACCGCTACAACAGGCTCTCAGTGGAAATCAAAGACCTCTACGAGAGATAACACCTGATCCTTAACGAACTCTCTGTGAAAACAAAAGACCTTCATAAGAAACGTCGCGTAATCCTAACCAAATCCTCGTGTTGGTAAACTCAGAAAAAGAATTCATATCAAAACAATTAAAAAATATTGTTTTTAAACGTATAAACTACATATCGAATGATAAAGAAAATATACATTCAATAAAATTAAAATGATAAAGAAAAATAAACAAATAATTTTATTTTCGTTCAAAGGAAGATATTCTCTCTCTCTCTCTCTCTCTCTATATATATATATATATATATATATATATATATATATATATATATATATATATATATATATATATATATATATATATATATATATATATATATATATATATATATATATATATATATATATATATATATATATATATATATATATATATATATATATATATATATATATAATACATTAATTTTAAAAATAAATATTTATTTATAATAAAAACCCGAAAGAATTTTTTATTTATTTTTAACTTTAAGTTTTGTCCAAAATTCAACAAATTCAAATCCCTATATTTAAGATGATTGATATGATTAAAATAGGAGAAAATTGTTAATGTATTGATTGTGTAATAAAATTTTAGACTTTTCAATTCATTATAATTATATATTTAATTAAATCTTTTTTTTAAATTTTTTATTAATATAATATAATATTTATTTTTTATTGAATGACAGTGTAAAATTATTTTATATCATAAATACCTTTCAACTCTTAAAATTGTAAAAATAACAATAATATATGTTTTTGACAAGGTAATAAAAAAAACATATTTTGCCCTTTTGAGGACAGTCGATATAATTAAAATAGTACAAAAACAATAATGTGTGTTTTTGAAAAAGTAAGTCGATATAATTAAAATAGTACAAAAACAATAATGTGTGTTTTTGAAAAAGTAATAAAATGAAAATTCTATATAATTCTTTAATTGTACGGTCCAATTCATTCATTGGAAATCTCATTTAAGGAATATATTTGGATAAAACATTAATAACATTAATTTATTTTTTCTTTTCCTTTTGAAAAATAAAAATAAACGGATTCTATTTCTAAGAACTAAGATAATTTTGGCAGTATACATTGGTGATATCTCTCACTGCCACGTATACCATCGATGTCCCATGGACGACGTATCATATAATCTTTTCGTTCTTTTTTTAAGTGTTATTTTTTCATTTTTAAACATACTAAAAATGTTAATCATTATAATTAGTTTTTAAATAATAATTTTCTTTTTATCTATAATACTCATAATTATTCATCACATATATTTAATTTTTTCTCTCAACAATAAATAATTAAAAGTAATTTTAACAAAACTGTAATTAATTATATTTTGAACTTTAAGTCACACTTAAAAATGAGATTAATTTTAATCTTTTATTTAAAGTATGATTAAATATCTATAAATATAAATTATTGCAACTTTTTCCTTCTTTGTTACATTTGGAAAAATTGGTGAAGTTGTTAAGACATAATAGCGTGTTTAGTACCAACTAGTGAAAATGAAAAGATGATGTTTTGTTTTGGTACTTAATTGTGGGTTAGGTACATTATAAATAAGGGTAATGTTAACATGTATTTTAAGGGTATATGGTAAAAAAATTATTATTAAAAAATTTATTTTATATAAAATATAAAATAAAATTAATTATATATTTGTAATAAATCTATCGTATAAGAAAACATGTCTTTTTCCTTTACAATTATTTTTGGTAGTTAATATTCTTATTTTTTCTTCTCATTAAATCTTATTTTTCCTCCTCATTAATTGCTTTTTCCTCCAACCTCATCTCCAGCGCGTCGTTCACCCTTCTGTTATACCAAGAATCATTTTCCTCCCCTCCATCGTGGGCTCACTCTTCTATTTCACCCTTCTGCTATACTTTGCAACAATTCCTTTTTCCTCCAACCTCATTTCCATCGCGGACTCACCCTTTTGTTGCACCAAGAACCGTTTTCCTCTGTCATTTACTTTGCAACCATTACAATAACCCTCCCAAAACCGTTTCGTAACTCCTTCATCCTGCAACCATCTAAATCATCATGGCTATAACCCTATTTATATCATCCCACATCTTCCTTATCAGTATCATTTTCTTCATAGAATATAGCAAGACAATATGGCCAGACCTGTGGAGAAAATAAGTGACATCAATGACAACAAAGAATTATGGAAACTGGCAGTCAGGGTGCATCACAGATGGAACGTTGTCTCCAACAACAAAGTTCATTTTGAGATGATTTTTGTTGACAAAGCTGTAGTTTTTATTGTCTTTCCTTGTGCGTGAATGTTTTCCATGCTCAATTTATTCGATTTAATAATTTTCTATTTATGTATATGTGTAATGCAGGGTGGTGACATACATGTTGTTGTCCCAGCAGCCCATATGTCTCTGTTTGATAAAAAAACTCGCATTGGGTCGTACTTACACGGTATCTAACTTTAAGGTTCATACTAATGTATTGTCTTTCAAATCGTCGTCGCACAAATTTATGCTCAAGTTTACTGGAGGAACGTCTGTTGGGGATGAAAACGGACATGAGATTCTGGCCAAATCGATTGTGTGTACAACTTTTACTGACATAATCACTGGAAATTTTGAAAAGGATCTGCTGCTAGGTGAAATGATCTTAATGATGTTTAATTTTTGTTCTTCTATATGATGTTATTATTTAACTCTTGTGTCGATGATGTTTTTGTTCATATGTCATTGAAATGGTTGAGAGTATTGGGTATGGACAGACTCAGACAGGCAACAAGAAACAACAAGTTAATATGGTATTGAGGGACCACATGTTTGTGTTATGCAGGAATCAGTTTTCTTTTATTATGATACATTTCCTATAATGTTTTAACCGACTTTGATGGATTTTTTGGCTAGCAACAACACTTTGAACTGCACCCTTTGGGAGTCTTATGTTGAACAATTCGTCAAGTATAACCAGGATCGGGCCGATGCGTCTGTCCCAATTGTTGTTTTGCTTCAATATGCAAAAGTGAAGGAAGAGGGTTAGATGTTTAACTTGGTTATTGCTTAATCAGTAACTTGCATTTACTGAAAATTGTGTCTTACTGTGTGAATGTAGGAAAGTATCCACTATCAGTGACAAACACCTATCATGTAACTATGTTGTGCCTCGATGCTGATTTTCCTCTGGTGAAAGAGTTTATAGACCGATAGAGTAATTGTGTGACTTATAAATGTTGGATTACTCATTATTTTACTTGGTGATTTTATATTTTCTATTATATGTGCAACATGCCTAAAGACAATATTGTAACTGTATCCGACTAGTTGGGCTGTAATTCTCAACTCTCATCTCAAAGTTCTAAAAATTCACAACCAACTCCTGTGCAAAAATTGCTTTATAAGGCCGTTGTTTTGCTTATCGCTGACATTATCAAACTTCATGATGTATGCATTACTTTGCTTTGACCTTATTCTTTATTATTTCATATGTGATGTTACATGCGTGTTTCTAATTTAGTGTTTATTTTGTGTTATGTCTCTGCAGATCACATTTTGTGCTACTGTGGCTGAAACAAAAGTTTTGGTTGCGTCTCCTTTTGGTTGGTATTACCGTGCTTGCCATCTCTGCCCTTGCATTGCACGTGGTGACATTCCTCCCTTTGAGTGTGAGGCTGGTCATTCGAATGAGGCAGGGCTATTTAGGTTTTATCCCTTGCTCTTTGCCAATTAACTTTGATATGATGCTTAATCTCTCTTATGTATGTAATCGTACTTATTATCCCGTTTTACGTTTCATTTTCCAGGTACAAAATTGAGATCGAGGTTGCTTATGCAGGAAATAGCTGTAACTTTGTATTTTGGAACAGAAAATGTGAACTGCTTTTGGGTGTATCTGCTTCTCAGTTGCGTCATACTATGACCCAAGTTAGTACCATGAATCACATTGATTAATTTTTCCACCATGTTTAAAACCTGACTCTGATTATTTGTGATACTTCTTATACAGGCTGGAATTCATGACGCGTTAGAATTTCCATTTGCGCTTGATCAGATGTTGAATTTGGAGTTGGCCTTTAAGGTCAAGTGGCAGTCGTGTTGGAAGAATTGTTCGGTTGTTATGCTGCTAAAAAATGACCCTTTCATTAAAGAGATTAAAGGTCCATGGGAAGCAATTGAGGTATGAAACATCCATCTGCCATTTCTATTATGTTATTCTAATGTTCCGATCCCTCCTATAAAAATAGAGCCGCTACAGGTATTTGTCGCACTATACTTTTTTGTTGCTTCTTTGTTTAATTGATTATATGTTATATGTTATAGCTACTATTAATTGTCATTAGGTTAAATAAAGCGTTGATGAAGCCAAAACGGATGCTCCCGAAGAATCCGATGTCGTAGCGGTAAACTTCATTGTTCTTTCATGTTTGTGACTGATTATCATATATGTACAAATGTTCTTTTATCCCTATAATTTATAAGTTTTGTCACTTTGATAAACAACAGGACATCGAGATCACATTTGAGCATAAACCGGGTCTGTTAGAACAATGTTTGAATCTACTACCCTATATTTGAGTTTTGATGATAACAAAGTGAAAAGATATAGTATTTATATGTTTCATGTTTGAACTATATGCTGCCTAAAATTACTATGCTCTGACTTGCAGATACGCTGATTAAAATAAGCAAGATCACTTATTCAGCATCAGAATTTGATTTCATACACCAGCATCAGAAGTTGCTGAATCAGAACGTCAAGATCAGATGATCAACTCACGTACATGCTGAAGCTTGATGAACAGAACTGCGCGTAAACACTCTGATACAGAAACACAATAGTTCATCAGCAGCGAAGCAGAATCAGAATGAGCCAAGCCAGAACGTGCATTGAAGAAGCAACGGTACTGTGCGTTGAAAGCTAATCAATTCCAACGGCATCATTCTAGACAAGATCTGCTCAAAAAGGAAAGCTTGTTATTAGCATTGAATCAAGAATATTGCATTCAACGTTCATCTTTCTCAAGTGCTATATAAACAAGGCTTCGAAGATTATAATGGCTAATGCTCTCAAAATCTCTACACGCACAAAGCTGAACCATAATCTTCACTCTACCAGTTTTGCTAAACCAAACTCTGATATTCATTATTGTTTAGCAATCTAGTTTCTAAGCTTAATTTGTGTATACATCACAGTTGTGATAAAGTTTTGTAGAAAACATTCACACACATTGTTTTATACCTTTGTAAGAAAGTGTTGCCTTAACAAACCGGATTGTGGTTTGAATCAAGAAGGCTTTAGCAGTTGTTAAAGCAGTCTGTAATATTCAGTTGAATATAGTGAATTAAGACCTCGTTGGAGAGAGGCGAAATCACCTTGACGGGTGGACTGGAGTAGTTTGAGATCAAACGAACCAGGATAAAAATATCTTGTCAATTGCCTTAAGATTTCAGTTTTACAATTCAACCCCCCCTTCTTGTGTTTTTCACCCCTTCAATTGGCATCAGAGCGCCTGGTTCTGAGCTAAAACACTTAACCGTGTCAGTACAAGATCCAGCGTCAGAAAAACACAATGGCAGGAAACAACTCTCACTTCAGCAATGACAACAATGAGGACAGAGACAGATTCAGCGGCAAACCTCCAGTCTTTGATGGAGAAAACTTTGATTACTGGAAAGACAGAATTGAAAGCTTCTTTCTAGCACATGATGCTGATCTGTGGGATATGGTGACAGATGGATACACGCACCCTGTGAATGCAAGTGGTCAGAAGATTGATAGAAAATCAATGACTGATCAACAAAAGCGTGATTTCAAGAATCACCATAAGGCCAGAACCATCCTCCTCAGTGCCATCTCCTATACTGAGTATGAAAAGATCTCCAACAGAGACACAGCTAAGAACATCTTTGATTCTCTCAGAATGACGCATGAGGGCAACGTTCAAGTCAAAGAAACAAAAGCTCTGGCGCTCATTCAGAAGTATGAGGCGTTCAAAATGGAAGAATCTGAATCCATTGAAACTATGTTCTCTAGATTCCAGATTCTGGTAGCTGGTCTCAAAGTTCTGGACAAAGGATACTCTACTGCTGACCATGTCAAGAAGATAATCAGAAGTTTACCCAAGCAGTGGAGGCCTATGGTTACTGCTCTGAAGCTAGCGAAAGATCTCAACAAAATCACTCTGGAGGAACTTATAAGCTCCCTCAGAAGTCATGAGATAGAGCTAGAAGCTGATGAGCCTCAGAAGCAAGGTAAGCCTTTAGCATTAAAATCTAACAAAAAATTTGAGTCTAAAGTTTTGCAGGCAGTTGAAGAAACATCTGATGGATCCTCATCAGAAGAAGACGAACTTTCCCTTCTCTCCAGAAGAGTAAATCAACTGTGGAAGCAAAGATAAAGGAAGTTCAGGAATCCCAGAAGATCTGATCAGAACGAGTCTTCTTCCAGATACAGAAGGACAGATTCTTCCTCTGGATACAGAAGATCTGAAGGCTCCTCCAGTAGAAAGAAGCCAAACACAAAAGACATCATCTGCTACGAGTGCAATGAACAAGGACACTACAAGAGTGACTGCCCAAAGCTTCAGAGGGAAAAGCCCAAAAAGAAGTTTGGAAGAGAGAAGAAGAAAAGTCTCATGGCCACATGGGATGACTCTGACTCGTCTGAAGCTGACTCAGAATCAGATGATGAAAGGGCAAACATAGCGCTCATGGCTAACATTCCAGATGATAGTGAAGCTTCTGAATCAGACTCAGAATCAGACACAGAAGAGGTATTTCCTAACTTCGCTGTTAATTTTACAAAGGCTGAACTTGCTGAAAGCCTTAATGAGATTCTGGAACGTTATCAGCAGATTAGAGCTAAATTCAGAGACCTGAAAAGGAATCTTGAATCTGACTCTAATAAGTCTGAGAGTCTCAAATTGGAAAACTCTGAGCTGAGAGATAAAATTTCAAAATTAGAAAACTCTTTGCAAAACTCTCAGAAGGAACCAATTTCTGAAACTCCCAGCAACGCTGATGAGATCATCAAGGAGTATGATCATAGTTTCCAGAAGTTCTTAGCTAAAAGCATAGATAGAAGCAAAATGGCTTCAATGATCTATGGAGTTAGCAGAAACGGCAGGAAAGGAATAGGATACCTAGGTAAGGTTCCTACACCAAAGAATGTCATGGATTTAACCATTAAACACACTCCTTTAAACTCACACTTTGTGTATGGTCACACACATGACATCAAATATACTAGCAGTAAGCACTCTGTGAAACCAAAATTCAACCAGAGTTTTGGTAAAACTAACAAATCAGGACCCAAGAAGATCTGGGTACCTAAGGATAAAATAATACATGTTGCAGATATCTTTAGCAGCAAGTCAGAAACACCAGTCATGGTACCTGGACTCTGGCTGCTCACGACACATGACGGGAAGAAGGCATATGTTCCAAAGCCTGGAACTTAAGCCTGGAGGCCACGTTGGCTTTGGAGGCAATCAGAGGGGAAAGATCATTGGCTCTGGAACTGTAGGTAATGGAAATCTTCCCTCTATTAATAATGTTCTGCTAGTAGATGGATTGATGCATAATCTGTTATCCATAAGTCAATTAAGTGATAACGGTTATGATATAATCTTTAATCAAAAATCATGTAAAGCTGTTAGTCAGAAAGATGGGACTATCCTGTTTAATGGAAAGAGGAAAAACAACATTTATAAAATCAAACTTTCTGAACTAAAGAGTCAGAACGTAAAATGTCTTCTGTCTGTTAACAACGAGCAGTGGATCTGGCACAGAAGATTGGGGCATGTTAGTATGAGAAGAATATCTCAGATTAACAAACTCAATCTGGTCAGAGGACTTCCTAATCTGAAGTTCAATTCAGATGCTCTGTGTGAAGCATGTCAGAAAGGCAAATTTGCAAAACCTTCTTTTAAATCCAAAAATGTTGTTTCTACCTCTAAGCCATTAGAACTTCTGCACATTGACTTATTTGGACCAGTTAAAACTGCTTCAGTCAGTGGTAAGAAGTATGGGTTAGTAATCGTAGATGACTATAGCAGATGGACATGGGTAAAGTTCTTAAGACACAAGGACGAGTCACACTCTGTGTTTGTTACCTTCTGTAACCAAGTTCAGAATGAAAAAGATCTTAGAATCGTTAAAGTCAGAAGTGATCATGGTGGAGAATTTGAAAATAAAGATTTTGAGTCATT